TGCAGTCATACCGGTGTGTTCAGTTCCCTTAAATGGTCAACACTTTTTCCTATTTCACTGAAATTTGGCAAGTATGGTTTTATTTTTCTTACAATGGCATGAACTTTGTAAATCTTACATGATAAATTGTAAGAGAACTGAAATTTACATAGGGAGAATCCATCACCAGGTTATATTCAGTCAGGCGTACTCTGGTGTGTTCTCTTAAATGGTCATAACTTTTTTCTCTTTCACTGAAATTTGGCAAGTATGGTTTTATTTTTCTAACAGTGGCAAGAACTTTGTAAATCTTACATGATCAATTGTAAGAGAACTGAAATTTACATAGGGAGAATCCATCACCAGGCTATAATAATGCAGTCAGTCGTACCGTGTGTTCAGTTTTCTTAAATGGTCAAAACTTTTTCCTTTTTCACTGAAATTTGGCAAGTCTATAATTGGTTTTATATTTCTTGCAATGGCATAAACTATGTAAATCTTACATGATAAATTGTAAAAGATCTGAAATTTACATAGGGAGAATCCATAACAAAGCTATATGCAGTCAGTTGTGCCGGTGTGTTCAGTTCTCTTAAATGGTCATAACTTTTTCACTTTTGAATGAAATTTGGCAAGTATGGGATTTTTTTTTTCTTATAAAAGCATGAACTTTCGAAATCTGAAATCATAATTTTTAAATATTAAAGGACTAAAATTTTCATGGGGAGAATCCATAATTATGTAATGCTCGAAGAGTCATAATGGTGTCAGTTCTCATAAAGGCAGTTTATAGTATATGATATAATAATTTTTTTTAAAGGATAGGGGTGTTAAATTAAAATTAAAAAATATATAATTCAATACCTTAGTACTTGAAAAGCCTTTCTACTACTTTAAAAATTCAAAGTTGTTTTAAAATCCCTATCACAGGTATAATTAGTTAATGACACCTTAGGGTATTTCACTGCGTATCCATTCATGCAGGTAGACTGCTAGCTCCAAGGCAATCACACCTGTACAAAATTAGCCCCTCCCTCACCTGGAATAAAAATACCATCCGGTAAAAATTCTCTGCCTTTAAATGACCATTTCTTTATTTTCTTTTTTTTTCTCAATCATATTAAGCCAATTTGGAATATTATTTTTGTTGTTGTTGTTGTTGAAATATTTAAGATAACTTTCTTATCTGCATTATATCAAGTTACATTTATATCCACATATATTACTTGCACTTACAAAAAGAAGACTAATGTTAAAATGTAAAATTACATACATGTATATCTTGTTGCAGTGATGTTTATTAATCAAATTAATTAGTTGTCTAAAATATATAATATATTTAATTACCTTTACAATATTAAAATATGTAGGAGTTGATGCCTCAGATTTAATTACACCGGGAAAACAAAGACAATCTGCGCATAATGGTATAGGAAAAATCAGAGGCATAAAGAAAAACCTTTGTATAGGAGTTGACTCCTCAATTTTTTTTAAACCTTAAGTACGACTTGGTTTGTGTACGAGTTGACTCTAAATCATCCGAGATCTCAACTGCGCTTGGCAATCGTAGTAAAATAATACATCATTTGATGAATTGTCGCAACAGAGATGCAAGAACTCGGAAATTCGAAACGGACCTAAGCGGTAGATAGGATCCGCTAGGCCGCCCTACGTCATTCTAATAAATATTCATGAGCGAAAAGTATCAACAACAAAACCCAATGCAGATCAGTGTTTTCCGGAATAAAAACCGTTTTAATCGTAAACACGCCCAGTTTTCAGTGTAATGTGTTAAATCTCCAAATCTATTCACATCCAAAGACGAAAGATTTGTAGATATATTTTGCAAACAAATGATTTCTAATTCTGTATTCCTCCCTCTACCTCATACAATTATTTTCCGGGGGGGGGGGGGGGGGCTCCATTGCTTGCAGCAAATGACCCGAATTAATCAATCAATGATTCATTGGTTTTATTTCTGTTAACCATTATTAAGTTATTGTGTTCTTTATGTAATACATTAAAAGGACACATCAAATAAAGTGAAGATCGTGTACAAATTTGTTAATAGAATGTTAATATACAGTTACTGCGTACAATTCAATTCATTATATATTTTAAAAACGCTTGAAAAGTGGGAGGGTACACTGTAATCGGTACGTCCGTCCGTCTGTACGTCTAGCTGTCCGTCCGTCTGTCTGTCTGTTACGCTTTGGGGTAGCCATCTCTAATCCACAACTCCGCTTATACCACATAGTGAAATTTAATGAAACTTTCACAGAATCTTCATTACCGGTACATATTGCCCTTATGCAGTGCACCTCCTGTTTTACTTTTTGATACGACATATTTTGTGTTTCCCGGCCACAGCAAAATATGGACTTTTCCATTACAATCATATGGGAGGCGGGGGTATCATTTAGTGAGCTCATTGCTCACAGTACCTGTAGTTTATAGACATACAATACCAATAAACATTGGAATTAATGATTAAAATTTGAATATTTACATTTCCAATGTCTTTGTCGGAGATAAAGTTACCAATTGTAATGTAATTGATTTCCACATGAAGTGTTTTAGCGCGGTCAAAAAAAAAAAAAAAACACGGGCAGGGCGGGACAACACCAATTAAGAGTGAAGCTGGCTTGGAGCCCGTGGATTGGTGGAATCAAAGCATGTAAATATAAGGAATAACTGTCTTATTTTTCGAATTCATGAATATGATCAGTGGATTGGCTTGTATGATAATTCGGCGTTTATGCAAATTATCACACAAGCCAATCCATTGATCCCTTCATGAATTCGAAAAATAAGAGTTATTCCTTAAGCAACAAAAAATATCAAAATGAGTCCTACAATAAGTCTGGAACCAAGGAATAGTACTCCTAACCTGGGAGGATCCAGTAGAGTGACCTAGGATCCAGTAGACTGCCCCTGTGTTAGTACTCACCTTGAGGACTATGTATTGTACTTACAATAAGTCAGGAACCAAGGAATAGTACTCCTAACCTGGGAGGATCCAGTAGAGTGACCTAGGATCCAGTAGACTGCCCCTCTGTTAGTACTCACCTTGAGGACTATGTATTGTACTTACAAAGGAATAGTACTCCTGTTTTTTTTTTAAATTTGTGTTTTAATGATTCTGTATACAATTACTTACAGAAAGGGCTTGGCTTCTTGAAGTCTGATTTCTTTCTTTCTTTTTCTTGTTCTTATCTTTTCCAAACAAGCAATGACGTTCATATTTGGATAGAATAATAAATGGTATGCCAGTGTAATTAATTGTTTCATGTTCGCCAAGATCAGTGAATCTCAAACGAAACTTATCGGGTAGATCTGAAATTATAAACACAATAATTTCAATTAAATATAATATTATTTAGATTATACACTAATGAATGCACATAGATCTGAAATAGATTATAATAAATAAATTATAAAAGTTTTGAATAAAAATTGTTTCCTGGATAGCTTAATTGATAGATCAGTTGACTAGTGATCATGGTGATGCAATTACCAGTCCAGCCAATATTCCTCCTTTCCTGTCACATATTTAGTGACATAGTCCATCCCTGGACTTGCAGATGAAAGCCCTGCCAGGGGGTAATAAGAACTTGGGTTGTGTCTTCAACAATTTAAAGAGGAATGTGATGTTTTGACCCCTAGTTATCGGCCTGGGTAGAGCACCTTACTAATGATGCAGAGACTTTGGGTTAGATTCGTGGTCAAGTCATAGACAAGTCAAGTTTACATTCTTTTTCTTTGCTCTAACAAAATACATGCATGTTGCCCTCGAATCCAAGAAGTCAATGAATTCATATTATACACAAAATATGTGTTGGATCAAAAAGTAAAATAGGAGGTGCACTGCACAATGGCAATATGTAATATAGGTTATGTGAAAGTTTAATTAAATTTCTCTCATTGGTACAAGAGGAGTTGCAGATAAGAGATGGATACCCCAAAGCGTAACAGACAGACTGACGGACTTACAGCTAGACAGACGGATGGACAGACTTACCTATTACTAGATACCCTCCCACTTTTCAAGCAGGGAATATTAAACGTTACTTTGATTTAAAATGATAATGCCCTTAGTGACATGTTTGTGTCAATAATAAATGTAATTTAAAACAAGACATATATTGGTTTCCACAAATTAACTAACTTGATAAATAAGTATAATTAAACTAAATAAGCAGATTAATCTTGTGAAACATTACTGATAGATGACTTCAATAACTAAAAATAAATCTTAAAATATGAATAATAAGAATTTTGACTTTCAAAGAGTCATTATGAGTTTAATCAATAACATAACAATTATATAACAATTAACATGATTAAGCTGTTGAACAATATTTTTTCAATAGATTTAGTATGTATTTGTGTGATTGTGTTTGAGAGGGTGGGTGCGTTTGGGTGGGGGAGGGGTATGGGTTTTTGTGTAAATCGAGTTGCAAATTATATTAATATGTATGACACATGCTTTCAGTGTTAATGCGTACCTACACTTACAGAGTTTTATTAACCTTTCATTGCAGTAGCAGTTATCATCAATAATTTTAAGTTAAAATAAAAGCTAGAGACTGAACATTAAGTATTTATAGTACTAACCATGGCCGTGGTTTCCGAAATCAGCTTCACGTTTCCCTGACACGAAAGTTAAACTTTTCTCGACCTCAAATTCCTTCCGAACTTGTTCTGCTTCTGCTAAGGAGTTCACGTACCCACAATACCCATCTTGTGTAGGCTTGCCAAGTAGATTTTAAAATGAAATTCTGGGATCAAAATCATTACATATTTTTGTTCTGTTACCTTTTAATAAACCAAAAATGCATTGTATTTGAAAATTTCCAACATCCATGATTTTTTAAAAATAATTGAAGTTTGCCATTTTTATGCCTACAATTCTATTTTTAGAGGCAAAATGTCACCTTCATTTTCACACATTTCCACAACTGAGAATAATTTTTTTTTGGTACAAAACTCAAGTCAAATGATAAAATAACAAGATGCAATGAGAATTTTTCAACAAAAAACTTTTATTTCTTAATTAACAAATTAATTATTATGATCCGCTGGTCTGGTCGACAGGCTTTTCTGACATTTACTTGGTTGTTTTGCTCAGTGTCTGAAAATAAAAATATTTTTTTTTATTTAGATGCTATTATAAGTTAATTAATACACAGGAAAGACTCAGCAAGACTTAAAAAAATTGTTACCTTCCAAAATTAACAGGGAACAGTATTAATGTTGTCTGTAGTACCATTCGGGTTCCATGAAAAATCTTTTCCAAGTACCTACTAGTATGTCTGAAATAAAGCACAAGACATCATAAGCTATATAAACCTTTAAAATAACTGATTTAATGACTTTAATGAGTTAAAAAATTTAATCATTATAATTATATATACATAGTGATACATACATACATTATATATATATTATATGAATACATGTATATGAGTTCTGCTTTAGTGAAATTAAAATGGTCAATTGCTCTTTCTTTAAGTGATCAAGTGTAAATGCAGTTATTAATTATTATATAACAACTTAAAACACCTACCATTAATCACGCATCATTTAATTTACTCATCGTCTGACGGCTCATGAATTTAACATATGACTGCATAATGCAGTATAACATGATTTCGAATTTTCTCTGTTGTCATTTTTGTAAAACCATGTAATATTCATTTAAGCCACTCTATACTATTACAGTTTTAATAGCATGAAAAACAAGTTCAGATATACTTCAATTTACACAGATAAGAAATATTTTGGAAGTTAATTAAGGCTGAAATAATTGCGAAAATGATGCTTGCAATGGGAGCCGCCATTGCTGAACGAAAACGAGGCCATAAACAGTCCACTTAATTTTTCGTTAAAATACAGATATTGTCTTGCGTTTACTATCTGTTTTTTATTATAAATAGCAACAAGAAGCATTAAATGTTTAAAATATTATAGTTAGATGGGTGCCTTCACATTATGAGAGTTTAAACACACTTACCGTTCACTTTCTCCCTCTGGTTTTTTCCTTGTAACATGTGCTTTACGGTCTTTCTAGCTAAAGGCATGTGGCGGGAACATTTCTTAAAATAGTTCCATAGTTATTCGGAACACTTCGTTCATATTAATTTAGAAATAAGCCGTAAAAGACAACCACCCTCGATGTCAAAAATGTGCATGACGTCAGAGACACATAAAAATAGAGAAACTCGAGTTACGTCCCTTTGCGTTAGCAAGCCTATCTTGTGTGACATATATCCATAAATTTTCCCATCTTTGCTTACTTTCCATCATTCATGCCGGTTTTTTCTTGTGTTGTTTTTTTCTGGCGGGCACGTGAATTACAAACCGAAAGTAGAATATTGAATATTCATGAGGGATGACGTAGGGCGCCCTAGCGGATCCTATCTACCGCTTACCAAAGAATTTGGTGATTTGATCAGATTTTAGTCAATAATTGATTTAAAGACTAAATTTAAAGGATTAATTCACGTACATTTAAATCAATTTAGTCTCATTTATATTCATTTCTTTGAGATATTGGTTTAACATGCTTGAATTAGTCCATTATCATCTCAACACAAAGTGAAGCAACTAGCAAGTGAGTATATAAATCAGTAAATGGTCAAAGTTATATCAACAGGTACAGATAGTATAGCAGTATATGAGCCTTGGGTAAATTCACCTTTCAACAGACACCAAACAGGCGTAAATAAAAAGAAATACATTTTATTATCAGAAAGAAGTGTTAGGAAGGAGCATGTTACATGTTACATGTGAACAAATAATGAAATATGACTGTATCAAACACAATAACAGAAGTACAAATCTGTGACTTTGACACATTTTTAATTGAAAGACATGTAAAAAGTACTGTCAGAATTATGAAGTTCATATCTTGGATTCATTAATCATGTTAATTAATTATGTTAGCAGCTGTCATTATAATCATAATCATTCAGAGAAGTTAAAGAAATATATTGTAACATAGATAACCTGTGTAGACCTAGATATTCATATGATAGATATTAATAACAAATATCATTTCAATGTGTACAACCACTGCAAAGAAAATTAATATTTTTATAATATGCACAAATATTATTATTTTTTTTTTTTACTGAAAAAGGTCTTCAGCGGGATAAATTTGTTACACAGTCAGTTAGTGTCGCCTCGCCCAATACGGATTTCCATTTCACACCCTGTATGAATCCGTATTAGGTCACTAACTGACTGTGTAACTAATAATATCTCAGCATGCAAGTCAGTTTAATGCTCACGCAACGCTTAACTTTCCATTTTTTAAAGTTTTTTTTCTTTCCAAGTGATTTCACACTACCAATATGTATACATGTGTAGAATCATTTCACAAAAACGATATTCGTGTTTAAATATTTCAGCACACTTTAAAGTAATATGAGGATTTTGTTTAAATATTTTCTGCTCAAATGTTATAAATGTAATACATGAAACTAAGTCATGTTAAAAAAAGGGGGGGGGGGCGTAAAATGATTTTCTCGGCAGGCGGGGTGTTTATATACAGGATTGTATATAGGCCAGTGGGAATTGTAATTAAAATCAGATTAAGAAGAAAAGAAAGTATCTATTTTTTTAGTATATCACTTTATCACTGTTTATAGAGTATTAAATGAATTAATAACCGCGTAAGGCCGGTGTAACGACGAAAAGTGACCCCTGTAGAATATTGACCTGGGGTTCATTTTTCTACGTAGAAAAATGACCCCCGGTCAATATTCTACGACAAATAGGGTCATTATTCGACTGTAGAGAAACATTCCAGACCAGTAATTCTACGACTTCATACACGTTGAAAAATGACCCCCATAGAAATTTGACCCCCAACTTTTTTTTACTATAACACCTAATATCTGTGTTTCCTGCTATTTTTTCATACTTTCAAATGCAATTAGGGGGAATTTTTTTATGTACTTTAATCCTTTCCAACATATATTTGATTGCATATCTTAATTGTAGCATCACAATCAATGTATCTGGTATGGATTTGTTTTGGCTCGCAGAATCCCAATGAAAAACGTCAAGAGTAATGTGCAGCAATATATTCAAGAAGTGGTGTGAATCAGATGTGGATAATTCCAAAGAACTTTTGGAGAATTTTAAATCTTAAGATTTTTCCAAAATCAACAGCTCAAAAAACGTAAGACATTTCAAGTTTATATACTACCATTTCCCACGACAAATTAAAGTTAGGCTTTTTGATATCATTGACAGCTGCTTTCTCAATAAAAATGGAACTCGAAAATTTACATACCTGGTCATTGGTCATTTGCAAAATTATTTTGTTAAAACACATTCAGATTGCACACACTTGTACTCTGAAGTTGACATCAAAGATGCTTGAGTTTCTGATTGACAATATCTACGTGGTTTTTTGAGACCAGGTCTTCCAACAATCTATTGGAATTCCCATGGGTACAAATTGCGCTCCGTATCAGCAGACCTAATTTTGTATTCGTTTGTAGCAAAATTTATGCAAAATCGTATGCGTGGAAAGAAGAAAACACTTAGATATATCGACGATGTATTGTAAATTAACTGTGGTTATTTACATTCCTACGTCGATAAGATATATCCTGGTATGCTAGAGATAAAATATACCACAAATTCTGACACATTTATTTCATATTTGGATATTTTACTTGAAAAAAGACGTTAATTGTAATCTAACATCCAAACTATATGATAAACGTGATGACTTGAACTTTTCTATCGTCAACTTCCCTTACTTATGCAGCAATATACCTTCATCACCTGCATACGGAGTTTATATATCTCAGTTTTTTCGATACACAAGAACATGCTCTACGTATTAACAATTTCTTAAACGAGGTAAATTGTTGACAAGCAGGTTGATGGACCAAGAATATCAGTAGTCTCGTTTAAAGTCATCAATTAGTAAGATCTAGGGCTGATACAATGACCTTGTCAGCAAATACAGTTTATCATTGAGTCAAATGCTGACTGACGTTTTTAAATTCATACTTATTGTTAGTCCATTATTTCCCTTCTTCATTGAGAAGCATACATTTATGATTATATTTTGGTGATTTTTTTATCATTCAAAGGTTTTATTCCGAAAATGGCATGATATGTTTCTGATAACCATAACCTTTTTTACAAATCAAATAGCACTGCATAGAAGCCAGAAAAGAAACGTAATTTAACTTTATAAAATCAATTCCCTTAGTTTTTACCTTTCAACTTAGATATACATCTGTATGTATTCTGCTTAAAAATACATACTTTTTAACTACCTTATATAAGTCATTATAATACTTTTTCCTGTATAAAGGAATATATAATGATATATAATGATATATAATGAAATATAATTATTTTTATAATTATTTTATATAATTATCATGATATTTTAAAAAATCAGCTAAAACTAGCAAAAATTTACATCTTAGTGAATAATAGTTCAACGATCAGATATCTATAAATTTAAAAAAAATACCTTTCCTTTTCACCACTTTTAAGCCCACAGACACTTGTCAAATGGTTGCTGTAACATAACCTTTCTTCTGAGCTTTTATAGACACTAACTTTGTATATAAACCGTCCAAAAGTTAATGCCAAAGTAAAAGTTACTAGGAATACTTGTGTAAAAGTGTGTCAAACTCCAAGGTCATGGTCAAAAAGTAAAACTGGTTGTACAGAAAAAGGTCTTGTCACAAAAATACAACTGAAATATGAAAGTCATAGTCCCATCTAGTTTAAAGTTATGGGCAAGGTTCAAGTATTTGCGGACAAATAGACAAACAGACAGACAGACGGGCAGGTAAAAAAACTATATACCCCTGAAACCGTATAATATGTAAAGTAATAACTTTTTCATAATCCAACATTTGTTGGTTTTTTTTTCTATTGGTAAAAAACTCTTAAAATCATCACATGTAAGTACATGTAGAACTGGGAAAGCGATACTACATATGTACATGTGCCAATTTTTGGAAAAACCAGCACCTCTTTTTTAGTTAATATATAAGATCCAATTTTATAAGCTAGCGCCCCTTTTCGCGCCAGTTTTAATAGTTTTGTCCCATGATCCCTTGCACAATAACGAAGTCATGGGACAAGACATCGTCGCAAACCACGGCCAAAAGGTACGATCCTCTCCCATTCTGGCCGTGGCTGGACGAGAAGAGAATTTCTCGTAGTTCATTAATATATTGACCAATGCGAGTAAAGCATAGTCGGATAATGAACTTTGATGTGACCTTTCAATACCCAATCGCAGTGTACGTTATAGTTCTTGTATACTGCTAATGTAAATTGTTGATTTCAATTGCGATGGAAACAACACTTGTCACTGACTGAATATGACGTCACAATAGAGAGGCGTAATATTCAAGATTACGACACTTTTTGTGTTCAAGCAGCCACGGGTAGGAGAGAGACAGCTCTACATGCGGACTCCGGGCCGTGGCTTGAGACGATGGGGACAAGACTACTGTTTTAAAAGTATAGGGATCAAAAACGTTAAACTTTTGAAAAAGTAAAAATTTATTTTGAGTTTTGCAAATTATTTATTCAGGGTAAATCAAAGAGATTTATAATTAATCAATTATGGAAAATTTTAAAACTTTTTTCAGACACCAGCGAGAAAATGACCTTTTTTAAAGATTAAATTGTTAATTGTGGAAACTTACTGTATAAAATGTAATAAACGATTCTATGGATGTGCGTATCTTTGCTCTATAATAGCCTTAGAACATTTTAATAGATATTGTTTTTCTGTAATGGGGATAAAACGGTTTGTATTATTAATGTTAGGTATTGTATAGCTTTGATTTCGTTATTTAAGCTTAAAAGCTTTCAGAAATTAACACCTCAAAGCATAAGGCAGCTTAATGTTATACTCGTATTCATTCGCCTAACAAGAATATTCCTACAAAACGAGTGTTTTTGCATCTCAAAATGATAAGGAGTCATTATTCTACGGGGTCATTTTTCTACAATGCACACGGAGTAAAAACGACCCCAAGGCCATACTTTCTATAGAAAAGTGGGTCATTTTTCTACGTAGAATATTGACCAGGGGGTCAAATTTCTACGTAGAAGAATAACCCCCGGTCAATATTCTACGGGGGTCACTTTTCGTCGTTGCACCGGTAAAATTGGATAAATAACACGACGGTCGTCTAGATTTTCTCGAATGACATATTTTTTTTAAGAACCCTCTATACACTGACGAAAAATGTTTTTTGGACTT